AGAAGGATAGGATTTTATGGTTATTGCCACCCTTTCTTCTGTGCTGCTGCTGGTGAGGCTCTAACTTCTAAACTGGGTAGCGACAGAGCCTGGGCACCAACCACACAAGGCAGTCTGCCGCCTACAGCAGCGCAGAAGGTCTGCTACTACCATTGTTCCTTTTACGCCAATGCACGTAGTAGCACTGCTTTCCCAGCTGAGAAGTTAGAGAGTAGCAGCTGCTGACAGGACACACAACTCAGAAGTCAGAAGAGAAGCAGAAACATCACTGCAGAGAGTGCCGCAGAAACAATGCTGGTTTCCTACCAGGTCACTACCCCCGATGCCAACACATTCAGATGGGCACCTAAGATACTCCACATATCTCTGGCACCGCTGAGTCCCAAACGAAGGTGATGGAGTTGGGACATCATGGAGACATGATGACTCAAACCTCACCTGTAAGGGTCTCGATGTTGCATATCTTCCAAAGCATCATGCCTCTGCCTCCGGCACTGATCTTGCAGTCAACCCCGGTAGAGAAAGCCAAATTGGCACTAGCTGCACTGATTAAAACCCCACAATATCTGATGGCAGCAGTGCATCAGCACTAGTGAAAGTATTTGCTTATCAAATAGTCGACTAATTAACTAGTACTTAACATTCTTAGTCAAGACATTCTGTTGGATGAACATACACTGGCCCAAATTTTACAAAGTTGCAATTAGGGATGTGAACAGTAACTGATTAACCTGGTACCTGGTACCAGGAGCAGCTCCCCACCTGCATGGGCTGGAAGCTGGCAGTCCCACATGCACAGGCTGTCAGGGAGCCGTCTGCCCCTCCACACGGCTCCCCCTGTACACCAGTTCCTGGGGAGCTGACTGCCCCCTTCCCGCCTCGTATGTAACTGCATTACCGCTGAAATTTTCAGTGGTTACATGGTTACTTAATTAAATGCATTTTAACATCCCTAGTATGCAGTGTCTGCAGATATTTCCTAACACACTTAAAGAATGAATCAATTCACACCAACAACATTGACTGTATGTTTTACATCAATCGCTGGGAGAAAAGGGAGTCTCAATCACACTCATTATGCATCAAAATCATGAAACTATGGAACTGGTGTACACACCCCCATGTAAACTTTTTGGCCTTGTACCTTCCCAGGTGTCAGAACTCGATGGTGAACATGCTAAGTAAATACTTCTCTCAAGAACACAAACGGGAAATAAACAAGGGAGTCCTGCAATCCATATTCCACCCAATAGGGCACTCATCTCATTGACTTATTTGCATCCCCAATTAACTACAAATGCTCAGTGTTCTGCTCCAGAGCAGGAGTGGGACCATGATCATCAGGGGACACCTTTCTCATCACATGGGACACATGGAGATGATGTACGCATTCCCACCAATCCCCTTGATATCACACATAATATACAAGACACAAATTGGCAAGGCCTACTCATCCTGCGTATCTTTTTCCACTTTTCTTTTGAAAGAGGCTTTTCCGAAATTTGGCACTTCTACACAGCATGAAAATTCAGAAAAATCTCCTCTTTCGACACATCCATTCTTCCTCATAAAATGAGATTTACAGGGATGGCAAAAGAGCAAGTCTGCTTTTCTGAAATTCCAGAGCCAAGGTCTCCTCGTGCCCCCCCATTGCAATGCACTCACCCCTCCCCATGAGCCAGGCATCCCCAGTGCCCAGAGCACCCTGCCCCATTCAAGTCCCTCCCCCCGCCCCCCGAGCCAGGCACCGGACGAACAGGACAGCTGGGTAAGTTAATCTTACTTTTAAAGTCGCTGCTCCTGCCGCCTGGCCCAGCTGCCTCAGCTCACATTGTGTAGAGGGAGGCATCACATGGCCAGCTCCCAGATCTCTGCTGGTCACGTGGGCCAGAGCAGCATGTGCTCCGCTCCCACCCCAGCCCGGCGACCCCCTAGCATGGTGCCTGGCAAGTGCCCCCTCCTGCCCCCCTTTGCTACGACTCTGCTGCGCTCCTCACTCCCCCGCCCTCACCAGATGTGGCAGGGGAAAATTGTTGCCGCTGGGCTTCCATCCAAGGGAAACAGGAAATACTGGACATGTCTCATGTCCTGTATTTCCTGTGGGTTTTTTTACCGGACGGAGCCCGCAAATACCAGGCTGTCCGGGTGAATACCGGACACCTGGCAACCCTAGCTCCACTTCAAGTGACTGTAGCGTAGTTCCCCTCAGAGATAAGGAGAGACTTCAGGTTAATCTGTGCTATAAGTACCTTGTTTAGGAATGCTATTGAGGTCAATAATAATGCTCCCACCTTCCCACCAAATGAGACTGCAGCAGCTGCATCATCTAGCTATGGGGAACCCTGCTCTACCTGCAATCCCTGTGCAACTGATGCTTCAAGTCTCATCTCCTACCCCACATGGGAGCTCCTGCACCATCCTTCAGAGAGAATCCCCTGCCTAAGCCTCACCCTGAAGGAACAGAGGAGAGCAGTGCAGCACCCACAGACAGCAGTGCCTGGGCCTCGGCAGGTGTTGCAGGATGGTGTACTGTTCTGCTCCACGCTAGCGTGTGACTTGTGAGTGTTTGAACATTATCTTTGAAAAATCATGGAGATCGGGAGAGATCCCGAATGATTGGAAAAAGGCAAATGTAGTGCCCATCTTCAAAAACGGGAAGAAGGACGATTCAGGGAACTATAGGCTGGTCAGTCTTACCTCGGTTCCTGGAAAAATCATGGAAGGGATCCTTAAGGAATCTATTTTGACGCACTTGGAAGAGAGGAAAGTGATTAGGAATAGTCAGCATGGATTCACAAAGGACAAGTCGTGCCTGACCAATCCGATTAGCTTCTATGATGAGGTAACTGGCTCTGTAGACATGGGAAAGTCAGTGGATGTGATATACATTGACTTTAGCAAGGCTTTTGATATGGTCTCTTCCAATATTCTTGCCAGCAAGTTAAGGGAATGTGGATTGGATAAATGGACAGTAAGATGGATAGAAAGCTGGCTAGAAGGCTGGGCCCAGACGGCTCGATGTCAGGATGGCAGTCGGTTTCTAGCGGAGTGCCCCAAGGTTCAGTTCTAGGACCAGTTTTGTTCAATATCTTTATTAATGACCTGGGTGAGGGGATGGATTGCACCTTCAGCAAGTTTGCAGATGACACTAAGAGTATGTCTACACTACCCCGCTAGTTCGAACTAGAGGGGGTAATGTAGTCATCCGCAGTTGCAAATGAAGCCCGGGATTTGAATTTCCCGGGCTTCATTTGCATGAAGCCGGCCGGCGCCATTTT